GTTGTGTTTGATGAGGTGACGGCGTGACTGGAGTGAGCCGTGTTGTGTGTGATGAGGTGACGGCGTGACTCTGGAGTGAGCCGTGTTGTGTGATGAGGTGACGGCGTGACTCCGAAATGAGCCACGTTGTGTGTGAGGGGGTGCCGTCCCGCTGGAGAACAAAGCTGGCTGGGTGGAGCTTCCCGCAGACCGACAGCGGCTCCTCTTCCAGGAGGCGAAGGTGCGCGTCAGGGTCGACTTCAACGTTTTCGACGCCCAAAAAGAAAATGTCAGGTTTTCCGTTTCAGAAGACTCCAGCGCTAACTCCGGCGCCATGTTCTTTGGAAATTGTATTGTTAATGGTACAGTCGGCTCTCCGCCACCTCGCCCTCCGGTCAGTCTCGTAGGTGCGCTTGTTCTGAGCGTTCAGCAACATTGTACGCATATAATTTTTCTCGACTTGGGAATCACGTTCCTGACTTTTTCGCCGCTAATATCCTGGCATGCGCCCATAGCCCTGGACTTGTGCTTCCGACGCACGATGCCAAACATGGGTGGAGCTGCGAGCCGCTTGAATGCCTCTATCGTCTTGAACTTGGGGTGCCGTTGAACGCTCAATGTAGAGGCTGACAGTGACCTGGCCATCCTGCGCCGGCTCAGATGGGTTCCAGGCCGGCCTTCGTGAGAGCAGGCCAGCTCCTTCACTTCGTCATCTGGCCATGGGACAGGGATGTTCTCTGTCCTTCCCTAAGGTGTTCACCCCTGGCCTTCTGGCAAAGGAGCCAGTTTCCTGAAGTTTCTGGATAAACCGGTTGATGGATTGTCTTGTACATTTAAGGTCCGGGAATTCGTCCTCCAGACGAGCTCCCCGCCACCCGTTTTTCACGAAACTGGCCTCAATGGTGCGGCGCATTTCCTTCGTGAGAACTGTCGTTGCGCTGCTTAGAAAGCACTTATTGTAGCGGACTGGATGGTAACAAGATTTCGGTGTTAGACTGGATTATAAAACCGAAACAATAACGCGTGTGCTTAATTGTTGGCATACACTTCCCACGTTGTGCCGATTCGCCGTGAAACCTTCCATTGGTGCTGGGAATGAGATTGGCAAAAAAGAAGAATTGAAGCGCTTCATGTAATGCAATGCGATCGCTACATTTCACAAGCTTCTTTTCATTTGTGCCATTTTCTGATTAGGTGTCAACTGGGGCATGACAGGTGAGGATTAGTTTATACGCAGGGAATCCCGGTCATTCTTGGACAAGCCCCATGTGACGTATGCGAATCACGATGCCGGCCGCACCGCCTACACTTAATCAGAAAACTTGAAGGGTTACAGGGGGGGGGGGGGGGGGCGTGGTGGGCTTTTTTTACTCATACTACATTTTTTTACTCTCGACGAATATGACAAAGAGCCAGCAGGCCCGTCGTTTTAGGACGTCACTGCAGTCTAGCTGGCTAGGGTTATCATTTATTTTTGGTTGTTATTTTTCCTATCCGATGGCGCATTTGATTACCCGTGTCTTGGATGCAGTGTTATCTGATGTTAAACGCAGCGGGGCGCAGTCAGTGACGTCTCTTGACGTCAGCGAGGCAGGATACATTGACGCCCTGTGACGTCACAGCTAGGATTAGTTACAGCACGGATGGAACAATTGCTCGAACTATCGTTCTCGTCTGCCAGACAGCAGGTGAGGATGATATTCCGAATGATTACTCCATCCGGGATGAATATAACGGTTCCATTCTTCCGTGGAGCTATCGACCGTAGCCTTTGTGTAATGCAGAAACGGCCATGCGGAGAGCGTGATTTCTAGCGCGTGTCGTTAATGCCGCTTAGACGATAGCGGGGGAGGGGGACACAGGACTCGCATTTGCTATGGGTATGCTGTGTCTTTGTGCATATGGATTTGGTGGCCGATTTCAAGGTAGATTACTCAGTGGTGACTTGCGTTGACACACGTAGTCTCTCGTTGAAGGCGGGAGATGGTCTGTCAGTTCGCGTGGGAAGTGGCTGTGCAGTATTCTGCATGACGGGCGTTCGGAGACCAGATCAGTAATAGTCTCACATTGGGAATGCGTACCAGGCCCATCCCTTATAGGTTTTTCGTTGAACCGCCCTTCACAAGGAATTGAATGGGGATGTCCCTAGGTCCCGTGTGATCTCCCGCCAAGTCAACGAAGTTAAGCCAAATTACGTACGTGTTGGGGGACAGCACATCATTGTCATTCACGTTGGAAAAATTGATTGGCATTAGCATATCGCTTGATTAATCTCGCAAACGCCAGATGCATAGTCCAAGTTCCTTACACATTTGAAAGATCCGAAACTCATCCAGCTTTTCAATAGCCGAAACTGAGGAATGGAACCTAATCTTTCCGTAAAACCAGAACGTAGTGACCTGCGAGTGCATTGCGTGATGTGTTCACAAGTGCTCATCGGTATTGTGTTCTGAGACGTATCACTAAAAATTTTCTTCCAGAATCGCTTTCGCTTTTTTTTTTGGGGGGGGGGGTTAAAGCATTGCAATCCACCTGTCACGTACCTGGAGTACAAGTATCATGTAGTATCATGTACGTATCATAAGAGTACGTATCATGCCAATAAACTTTAGCATTTCAGACGCTGAAGGTCAGTGACGTAGCACTGCATGGCACGGAAACGCCCGCGCAATTCCGTCCGCGAAAATTATTGAAGTCAAAATCATCCGACGAAGTGCGCCGGCAAAACTTGGATGGGGAGTTCGGGACACACGCGACACGCTCCGCTTAACGGATACTGTGAATCCAAAGGCCACCCATCCAGACGGCTGGATATGTGTCCGACAAAAGAGCGCCCCTGGCGGTCATGACTCGGGGGCGGCCAATGTCGCGGAGGGGTGACGGCTCAGGGGTGACGGGTCCGCCGGGTCCGCAGCAGTTCGTTTCAGACGGAGCACGCTCGTGAGGGGGAGCGGAGACGGCGCCCCGCCCTCCCCGCAGTCGTCCCGTTCTGGGCCGGGGGCGCTGGGCAGAATCGGTCTCCGAGTGGGGCGACGAAATGGGCACGTGGAGCGTGGAGTGGCTTTTTGCCTGGCGCCGCGCGGCTGACGTGGTTGGTGGCGGATTTAATCCGGCTGAGATTTGGCCCGATCGATTGGACTGCCATGGCGGCTAAGTGGCTTTACGGTTAGTGTCCTTGTCACGAGATGTCACTGTCGGCTTCCAGACAGCTCGCATGATGGATGCCCCATCTCCTATGAATCGCCTGCTATCTGTAGCAGTGTCCTATTAACGGAAAGCTTGCTGAATGGTCCGATTCATTTTCGGGAAGACGACAATCTAACTGAAGGATTGAATGTTGGCGTGAAATCAGTGTGGGAAAGAACTGGCGCATCTTTTCACGCGGATGTTTCGTCGCGAGGTTGGCGAGTAGGCCGTACGCCCTGCGTTTGGCATCAGTGAGCACTGAAAGTGTCCCACGTTCTGTGGCAGGAAGAATGCAACGTTTACACAGAGAACGCCATCTTGCTAATGTTGAAGCATGGCGCGCCGATGTTGCGCAACCGTGCGCAGCATGCAGAAGTCGGCATTCACTGTCTATGTGCGCGGTGAAGATCTGAGTGTAGTTTAGGCCTAATCCACAGCATGGGATGACAATGTCGTCTTGCCTCAAACATTGCTCTTCTCCATTGGCTGTGGTATCCGCTGAGGCTCTCCGTTCTGCTCGAGCATAACCTCGGGCTCCGTCCTCGGTCTGGTCTGCTGACTCCGCCGGCCATGTTCTCGGCGGCGCGGCGCGTTACGCGGCTGGTCGGCTACTCTTCAGCCGGCGCGTTACGCGGCTGGTCGGCCGCACTTCGGCCGGCACGTTACGCAGCTGGTCGATCGCTCTTCAGTCGGCACGTTACGCAGCTGGTCGGTCGCTCTTCAGCCGGCACGTTACGCAGCTGGTCGGTCGCTCTTCAGCCGGCACGTTACGCAGCTGATCGGTCGCTCTTCAGCCGGCACGTTACACAGCTGGTCGGCTGCTCTCCAGCCGGTACGTTACGCGGCTGGTCGGCTGCTCTCCAGCCGGAGCGTTACGCAGCTGGTCGGCCGCTCTTCAGCCGGAGCGTTACGCAGCTGGTCGGCTGCTCTCCAGCCGGTACGTTACGCGGCTGGTCGGCTGCTCTCCAGCCGGAGCGTTACGCAGCTGGTCGGCCGTTCTCCAGCCGGAGCGTTACGCAGCTGGTCGGCCGCTCTAGCCGGCGCGTTACGCAGCTGGTCGGCCGCTCCTCAGCCGGCACCGCTCGTCAGGCCGCGGTGACGGCCCCGCTCGTTAACTGCTGATTGAACCGGCCGCGCTGCCAACTTCGAGCCCTGCAGCTAAGCGGCCATTAGTTTCTGCCCCGCTGCCAGCGGTTCTTGCCGCGATTTGGCCGTGCCGCGTTTGGCTGGATAATGGTGGCGCTGGATTGCACGCACCCTTGGATGAGGACCGAAGTGGGGTTAACCCCCTCCCGCTTGCCCACTCTCTCCGACGCTGCCGGAGCAGGGAGGGCGACCAGTGCCTACCACGTCGGGCGATCCTCAGCCTGTTATGGGGCTTATTGTTTAAGTTTTTCGGAAAGGAGGTGCGTGAGGAGATTTAAAAGGGTTTTCCTGTATAAAACTAATAATTTTGCGAAAGCAACACAGCACACGCGTAATTTTGTGTATCTTGAATGAACCGCTCGGCCGAGGGTGATGCGTTTGAAGGCTGAGTTTCAAGTTCTGTTATGTTGTAGATTTTGAGAGTTTTCCCCTATTACCATGCCGGGCTTCTGAGTTATGACCTCGCTCCAGCCTAGACGCCGATAATGAAGAAAGTTCGCTGTACCGAACCTGGCGTAGAACTTTCCAGCCGTCTGAATCAGCGCCCACAGCATGCGTTCTGCTGCGGGACTGGCCGCGACCCAAGCTCTGGACACTCAATGGATTTGGGTTCGCATCCCGCCACAGCCTCCCTTGTACCACGTCTGAGTTGTGTGGCCGGCGCCTTTGACGGCCGCTCCGCTCGGCAGGGGTGCCTATCCCGCGGCGGGCGCTGCCGCCGCAGGACGCCGTCGGCTTCTACACGGACCCACGGACGCGCGGCTACCTGGCTGACCCGGAGCGGGTCGCCCGTGACCGGCTCACGCTGGCGCAGAAGTACGGCTACGAGCCCGTCACCGTCCAGGTGAGGTCACGGCTCACGAGGCCCGGCGGGGGCACCGGCCGACTGAAGTACTGTCCAGGTGAGGTCACGGGTCAATTGACGCGCCCCTGCAGGGTCACGGGTCAGTCGGTGAGCTGTCCAGGTGAGGTCGCGGGTCCATTGGCGCGTCCCTGCGGGGTCACGGGTCAGTCGGTGAGCTGTCCAGGTGAGGTCACGGGTCAACTGACGCGTCCCTGCGGGGTCGCGGGTCAGTCGGTGGGTTGTTTGGGTGAGGTCACGGGTCAACTAACGCGTCCCTGCGGGGTCGCGGGTCAGTCGGTGGGTTGTTTGGGTGAGGCCACGGGTCAGCAGACGGTAACGTATCACACCCGCTGTCCCTCCCACAGATTGATATTCGTACGATTTTGGTATATGGTCGTGCTATTATTGGAACAGGAACGTGGTTCACCTCTGAAGCGAGCTTTTGGCCATGTTCGTGACGTCGAACTCCGTCGAAAACTTGGAGCCCCTGTGACACTCCGATCTACTTCGACTTCTAAGCAATGCAAGACACCAAACAAACCTCAGCTGGCAAAGCTTCGAACCAGGCGGGCGTCAACAAAACTTCAAACCAGGCCTGTTTTTGCAACATTACTTGCGAACCGTGCGCGGGTTTCGCCAGGTGCTCGGTCATGTGATGTTTGCGGACTACGAGCAACGCAAAGCTAACGAACCATCTGACGCGCGCGCCGCGAGTCCCTCCGCGCAACCGGCCCAGCTGGCGCCGCTCGCTCGCCGCCCTCACCTCACCGTGTCTGAGGCCGGGGCTCCGCCGGCGCCGTCGGCGGCCCGGTACCCGGACCGTTGTGGTGGGAGGCCGCGGCTGGGCCAGCCCCACCGCCCCGCCCCCGGCCGCGGCGGAAGCTGTTGCACGACGCCCCCAGAGGGTGACCGAGTCGGCCGGTCCGCGACGAGCAGCCCGCAGAAGTTGGCGCCAGTCATCGGCCATCTGGAACAGCAGTCGGATCGCGCTGAGTGGAGGACGTGTGCGGCGGTGCTCTTCAACTTCAGGATGGCACGCGCTCGACGGGTGTTGGCAATGGTCCCGCTGGTGATCTGAGATCAATTGGAGCGTTTGTGCTCAGTCTCAACGCCTCGGTTATCTGGCACCACTAGGTGCGAAAGTTCTCACATGCGTTCCCCAAGTTTTGGGTAAATTGATTTGACAGGCGAGTTGATGGTTGCGCGTGTAATTATTTCTGACATCGCACCCAACATCTGAACAAGCACCGTGTCGCGGTGCACCGTGGCGTGGCGTTCCAAGCAAGCCACTGAACCAGTCATAGTCGCCAAATGTCAACTCAGGTTCTTCCGTAAACAGAGGTTTCTTTGCAGGCAAGCGTACAGCGTGCGCGTTCGTGAAATTTGGAAGAATCGAGTAAACTCTTCGGCTAAGACAGGTAGCTTCAGGCTGTGATTTATGCCAAAACTTTCCTAGCTTAACGAAAAATGCATGTCGACGAGAAAACAAGAACGAGATTTCCCTGGCCCATGCAGTCGAATATGCAAAGGCGTGATGGCCTTTTCCCGTATTTGATGAGCCTCCATCACAGCCCACTGCAGAAACAACCGCGCCGCCCATTTGGAGCAGCCAGCAGGCGCGTCTAGCTGATCGGTCGCTTTGTCGTCGGTTCCGCTTCATCGAGCCCGCACCGTCGGCCGCCGGGCGCGCCGCCGGTCAGGCTCGCACGGCCGCCGATGCGCTGTTCTTCCGCTCGGCCGGTGCCGCTGCGCCGAGCCCCGCCGCACAAACACGCCTTTGTCAGCGTATCTCGGCCCGACAGCGCTGGCGGCTTCGCGGCGGCTGCGGTCGCGGCGATACGGCTCGGGCGTGGTGGAGCCGCTCCAGAGCCTACGGCCAGGGCACCGGACAGAGCCGCCGCCGCCCAGCTGATTTGACGGACTCCCTCGGCCGGCGCCTTGGACTGATGCGCCAGCTGATGCCGCCGGACTGGTCCGCGCGTTGACCCAGCTGGCTCCCTGAACCGTGCGCTCTGGTCGCTGAACGGGTCCAGCACGCCTGCCGCTCGGCTCGGCCGCGCTCGTGGTGCGCTGGGGCGACGCGCGTCGGGCGGGCTCAGGGGGGAGCGGGGAGCCCGCTATATCCCCCGGCTGAGACACTGGTCCAGGGGAGCCTTGTGATTGGGCGAGGTCGTCTGAATTCCGACCAGCTGAGACCGCCTGATCAGCGAAGACGGCCCGACTACGGAAGGCGGTCTGATTTAGGAGGCCGTCTGGTCAGGGGAGGTCGTCCAATCAGGGGAGACGGTCTGACAAGGGAGACGGTTTGGTGATGATAGACCGTCGGATTGGAACAGACCGCCTGACTGACTGAGGGCATGGTCTCCGTCTGACCTCACCGGCCCCCATCTCCGTTGCCGTCTGCAGCGGCTGGCTCCCCGAACGCCGGCTGTGAGGCGGGTGTGCCGCCCTGAGTCGCCTCCGACACCTGTCTGACGCGGTGAGGGGTGCCGCCGTGCGGAGTTGGCAGTTTGGTGGAAGCCTGGCTCTTTGGAGGCGGACGGGCGGGGGTCGCGGCGGTGTGTTCGAAGAGAGTTCTGCTGCGTGTGTGTGTGAAGAGTGAATGGGTGTCATGTAAGCATCGACGTGGGTTAAGCGGTGCATTTGCGTCGTTCTTACTGAAAGTGGCGCACAAAGCGTGTTGTGATGCCCACAGAGCGTCTTACAAAAGTCCTGAAAGACCTACTAGCGCGAACTGAAAGCTCTCGTCCTGTTTTTTTTTTTAAACAGTTTTAGACGAAAACTAAGTTACGCGATGCTAGTTTAGGCATTTTCAGCCTGCAACTTCGCCAAATGCTGTTTTATTGAGTGTTGCATTGGCCTTGTTAATTCTTTGAAGCGAACCGAGCAAACAGTGTCCGTTTGTTTCAGTCGTCAATACCAGAAATTGGTTGCAATTGTTCTTTTGAAAACCCCTGGGGAAATACAGTGTTGTGTGGCGCAATACGCTGGCGTCGGAAGGCGTCCCGACCCAAAAAAAAACTGGAACTGAACTGGAGCTCAGTTCGATTTAGCTGGCAGGTGTCACGGACTCTGCACCATTGTCCAGGGGTAAAGCGTATCGAGACATCTAAATTGAGACACATTTGCTGTCTGTTGAGAAGTTCACGCTGTTTTGGAAAGTCTTCACAGCGCTCGGGAGTGTCTGCTGGGAAGCCGACCGTCGGATAAGCATCACTCAGTAGTCTGAATTCTGGAGAAGCTTCTATCACACCTGGTCTGTTCGGGGACAATCTTTCAGTTACAGGCTAGGCGGGGCTCACGGCCGCAGATGCTTGTGCACTCCTGTGGCTTGGCTGACTTTACCGGCGGCCCGGGAAGGTGCTTTGAGCTCTTTTGCCGTCGCTCTCCAGCTTTCCATGAAGCGATGCGTCTTCCTGATGGGCCTTCAGTGGGGCGATGCGTTCTTTTGCCGGGCCTTCAGTGGGGCGATGCGTCCTTCTGCCGGGCCTTCAGTGGGGCGATGCGCCCTTCTGCCGGGCCTCCTCTGGCGAAACAGTGAGGCGATGCGTCCTTTTACCGGGCCTTCAGTGGGGCGATGCGTCCTTCTGCCGGGCCTTCTTTAGCCAAACAGTGACGTTGAACGCCTTGTTGGTAGAAACCCGGCTCAACTTTGGGAGGGGGAGGGCATAACACCCCCAAAGAGACACAAAGGTCCCCCCAAGTGTGTTCATCTCTTCCGCGACAACAAGCGCGGGAGAAGGCAAGTGGTGTGTGGGGCACGCGCATTTGTGCGGCCTAAGCTTTCAGCCGGTTTTAAAAAAGGCGTTCTTCAGATCTTGAACGTGGACGTGTCTTTCAGCTACGTCGCGTTGGATTATGTGAAGGTGAATGTTGGCCATGCAATAGAGCTGCCTCGTGCTTGTATTGTACTCGCAGTGGAGCACGTATCTTTTTGCACAAAGCTGGAACCGTTCCTATAGAACAGGGAGGAGGCAGTAAATCTCAATGTGGTTTTCCGCCTCGCCAAGCTTTACCACCGCCAACCACCTCTTAACAAATATGAAATGTTACGTACCTTACAATGACTTCTCATGCCTCAAGACATTGGTAAACTCGCGTGAGTTTAACACGCATGCAGCTTTTTTGGGCCTTTTGGCGTCCCACACTGTGATTGTCGCCGGCGCGGCCCGACGCCAGACCGGTGGCGAAGCTCGAGCCCTCAATTCGACTCGACTTCGGGGGAGGGGGGCTCGATCGACTTGGACGGCGTGCGGCTGTGGGCGAGCGCTCCACCTGCTGAGCTGCGCAGCCCCCCCCCCCCCCCCCCCCACTGCAAGAAGGCGGCGGCGTCTCGGCAGCGATGGGACGCATTGGCGTCTACGAGCTGTGGCGTCCGATAATGAGGCATTGACCACGCTTGACGAGGCGCATCTGTTGTGTTGATGTGCATTGATTAAAGGAATGTTCCACACTTGAAGATAGTGAAGCAAGCATCGGACACGATAAAATAAGCTCGCTTATAACTATTGGTATAGTTTTAAGGGGAAAAGACTGCTCTATAAAGCATAACTTATCTGTTCAGTAAATATGTCTCTCAATACATCATTGTTTGATTATGTTTTGGCACCCTCCGCACCGTTGATTGAGAGCCACTTGACGACCGTTATTTCTGGAATTCGTGCTCACGAAGGTCAGACATGAAAGAGTTGGCAATTATATTTTGTTGGCCTTGATCGCCGCATGGCTAATGGAATAGCATGATACGAATGGCATTATTGCATCATGGACGCCTGGGTGACAACCTTGAAATAGCCTCCCCGAAAGTATATCCACATCTTCGCGGGCGTGTAGCTCAGAAACCAGAGATTTTTAGGTCTTAAGAAGGCCAGGGCTGTGAAGTGCATCGAATGATCTTCAAGATGGCTATTTCAGTTCAAAACCCCACAAAGGTGTGGAGCACTCCTTTAACAGCGTTCTGTCACGAAGAAAGCCAGGCAAACGGATGTGTTGGTCTTCACCTTCTTTGTCAGCGGTGTGGCGCGAGCCGCGGACCCGTACGTACCGAGCACCCGAGCAGCGTTCGGCGGTCCTGGGGCCCGGGTGGGGAGGGAGAGCGTGTGACGCCGGAACGCGGCCGCCGCCGGCACCTCCATCCAGCGACGGCGGCGGCGAGGCGACGCGCTCATGCCAGTGCTGGATGTCGCCTCGCGTATGGTAGGAGTTCAGGCGGTCACCCAGGCTTGTAAGGTGTCGCGGCACGGCGAGCCGGATGTGCTGAGGGACCTGTTTGTGTTAAACGGCGGCGCACGTGTGCGACCCACTCGGCAGAAAAGGCTCCCACCTCCCAGGGCCGGTACCATGCTGTGTTTGTGTTAAACGGCGGCACACGTGTGCGACCCACTCGGCAGGATAGGCTCCCACACCTCCCAGGGCCGGTACCTGGGCCGTGTTTGTGTTAAACGGCGACACAGGTGTGCGACCCACCCGGCAGGATAGGCTTCCACACCCTCTAAGGCCGGTACCCGGGCCGCGTTTGTGTTAAACCGCGACACAAGTGTGCGACCCACGCGGCCCAGGATAGCTCCCACACCTCCCCAGGGCAGGTACCTGGTGCCGTGTGTGTGTTAAACGGCGACCACAGTGTGCGACCCATCCGGCAAGGATAGGCTCCCCACACCTCTAAGCGGTACCCGGGCCGCGTTTTGTGTTAAAAAACGCGACACACGTGTGCGAGCTATTTCGGTCAGGATAGGCTCCCACACCCTCCCAAGCCGGTCCTCAGGCCGGTGGAGGGGACGTTTCGTTTGTCACGCGCCAGCATCGTATGACGCACCGCCAGCTGACATTACATGACACGGCAGCGTTTTGTACGCGCGGTGAGAGCGCAACTATTGAACGACGGGTGCTATTGGTAGCCGTTGAAAAATGTGTCCAACTGTGTGTTCTTATGGCTTGTGTCTGGGTTTTTTTTATTTTTTCTTAGTTCCTGCACTTTTGACCCGGAGCTGCAATACCCATGCTCCGTATGGCTGTATGGAAGTAACACATACGTACAATACATGCTGACTGTGCGGTGCTGGAGCGGCTGATGGAGCGGTGTAGCTCTGTCCGTCGCGCTGACACAGATACCGCAATAAATATACAAAACGCAGAGGTGTCTTCTGTGACAGGCGCTTCCGGGATGTGGCTTGTCGACGGCGCGTTTGTGAGCGTTAGGCGCCGTGCTGCAGCTCTCACCGCTTACCCTCTTCCCGGCAGGAGGGCGTGCTCACCATGCGGAAGGACCCGCGCCAGGTGTTCTTCGGCCTCGAGCCCGGCTGGCTGGTCAGCCTCGCCAGCAAGGAGGTCTGGCGGGTTAAGGACCCCACTATGGTCGAGTACTACCGCGCCTAGACGCTGGCGGCGCAACCTCGGCGTGCTCCTCGTGACGCAAAGCTCCGCCAGTGACCGCGGGCGCTGCCGGGCGAGGTCACGACCTCGACTGCGTGCCACCGCTCGCCGGGGACCCTGGGGCGTGGTGTCGTGGGGCCGGTGCTGACGGTACAGCGGCCTGGGGCGGCCTCGGTTGAGCCCTGCTGTTTGTAGTAGCCACGAGCGCTCACGGATGGTTGGCGCGTGCGGGCCGTCGCCGGAGTAATCGTAATGCGTGTGTGGGGTGCGTGCCACGCCAACTGTTTGAGCTTGTGTACCGCTGCACGTGCCGCCAGCCTGGGACTGAGGCCGGCCAAAGGGCGGCACGGGTGACTGCCTCCGCTCCGGGATAGTGTTGACATTGGCAGGCTCGGGAGCGTGAGGATATATGGTCTACCCTGTACGTAGGCAAATACACAACTGGCCCGTACCGGCTCCACAGATGTTTCCTGCTGAAGTGCACGATGTGAATTTCTGCGCGGTGCTGGTATCGCTGCTCTGAAAGTAGCGAGCGCATACAACTTTGCAAAGATCCAAGAAGAATCACAACACTTTGTATCAAAACGCCCCTCAGCGTTATATAGGATTTTCGCAGTGTTCTGGTCGTTTGACCTGTCTTGCGGTGGAAAGTAGTGCCAGTGTCATCAGTTTGGTGCCATACCTGCTCGAAACTCTTTCTTGGTGGGCTCACGCCATTCGCAGTACTGAATCACGCGTGGTTTCTGAGTTTCTGAAGGCAAAGCTTGTTCAATTTTGTATAGACTGAAGTAGACCAATTCTCCATCAAAACCCAGCGAATTATAATTGCTTTCAGAATGCATTTGAATCAGCGTCTGGAACATGTATTGTGCGACGTTACGAGCCTCACATTTGTCATTTTTGTGGTGAAAAGGTTTCGGGGCCCAAAAACTGTGTGGGCAGAATATGGAGCGAACGCAACAGCTGTCATGTGCTTGTCGGTTAGGGGCCGGTCCAACGCGCGCTATATAAATGAATGTACTTGCACGAAAGTGCATGCAGTAGACTTTACTTTTGGTCGTACGATTTTCCGCTCTAGTTTCAAGGCGTGAGAAAATAACGTCGTCAGTCGTGCGAGCTGCAGCGGTTTCTCTTGACGTTAATCACTTACCGCCCATGCATCGCCAGCGCGTCATCACTCCCTTCACCGAGAGCCATCTGCACCAAGAGCGGGACACCGAGCTCCGCCTCCACATTCGCCGAGTCCTCCCGCAGAATTCCCGCGGCATGCTTGTGGCGCGCGTCCCGTGTGGGGGGTGGGGCTGCCCGCAAGGCAAATTGCTCATCACCGCGGCGGCGGCGGGAGATGCGTCCGGCGACATTCGTCGGGGGCGTGCGGTGGGAAAGGCGCCCGCCCCGGGACCGTCTCCCTCCCCACGGAGAGAGCCAATCTCGTGTCCGTTGTCGGTGTGGCCGGGCCCCCTCCCCCCAGCGGCGCCGGGCCAGCTCAGAATGTGGTCTGACTTGCGCGTGTCCGGTGTTCTTGTTCGTGTCCAAGGGGCTTGTGCGTGTCCAATGTTCATGCGCATCTTCAGTATCCCTGTGCGTGTCTAGTGTCCCTCCGCCTGTCCAGTGTCTTCGTTCGTTTGTATTGTCCTGATGCATAGCCATTGCTCTTGTGCATATCCAGTGTTCCGATGCACGTCCGGTGTTCCTCGAGTTGTTTGGCTGCGTGTCCATTTGCGTGTACAGTGCTCCTGTGCGTGTATCCAGCATTATTTTGCGCGCTCAGCATTCCGGTGGGTGTCAAGCGTCCATAGCCACGCTTAAGGCAAACCAACAGAAACGAAAGTTGACAGACTTTCTTGTGATTGCACTGAAGGTCAAGGGTTGTTCGTGCAACGCGTTACAAGTTGTTTCGATTATTTAACACCGGCCCGGATGATGGGTGAATTTCAGCCCCGAAGGTTTTTCCAGAATAGTTGCCGAAAGGTGCGGCTTCGTCACGATAAACTTTGCATAGCTGTGAGCAATTGGATAGGGGCTCTTTTGGTTCACAAAATTAGATGTACATTGTAGGGCTGCTGACCTATGGCAGGTCGAAAGTCAGGTCGTGGCTGTCAGCGAAGACAGTTTCTAGCGAATCGTTCAACCTGATGTGACGAGTAGTGGACGAAGCCAGGCATCTCTTAGATAGTTTCTTAGACGATTTAACAATGGAATTTAGGTTTACGCCAAATTTTAGTGTCCTTGGGTCAGATATAAAGGTCAGACCGAGCTCAAAACTACCTTATTTGTTCTAGAGAACCTCTGGTGAGATCGTTTCTAAGAATTATTTCGATTGTTTTATAACAGGGGCCCCAGCAGAAATATTCCGTTGGCCTCGTAAAGTTTGGAGCGGGTCACTGATCTAAAATGATTCTGGTCGACCTTTTGTATTTAGGACCATACCACCCAGTATATCTTTGACGCTTATTGATATTTGAAAATGAAATCAGTATCGTCGGTGTTTGTTCACCATGACCCAACGATTCAACAAGCTCACTGACCTAAAATGAGTATCAGTGATACTCTGCTTAGAACAGGTATCTGGGTTTAAGGCGGTTGCATCAGGAGGCCTGGAAGCACTTTGGACACCAATCTGTAGGATGACCTCGTTTGATCTTACTTGACCCAAAGGTCATGATTTAGGAGCGCGAAATTTTGATGCATGATTTTAAATACAGGCTGACCCATTCTGTAATTTTGGTGTCTCTAGCTCTCCAAGTTGTTGTAATCTCAGAAGGTCAAACTGACCTCCGCCCGAGCGCGTGGTATTTGAACGGCCAGCTGGACGTGTGTTTAAAAAATTGGTAACTTATGTTATATTGTTTGCATTATGTTATAATCAAATACTATATAATAATGCGTTACGTTTTGCTTGAGACGTACTTAAGACGACTTAAACATGTGCGTCTAATGTTTTAAATGCCTTGAACGATCTTTTTTCGAATATGTACATATCGTGTATATGCTCGGAAGGGTATTGTCTTCATACGCATCGTGTACTTTGAATATACACACAATGTGTATATGCTCGTAAAGCTCATTCTCGACAAGCCATTTGGGCGAAGTTCATCGACGAGTTTGTCACGTCGATGGCTTGGTTATACAGAAAAATATGTGTCATGCGACTCCAGCGTCAGTTATGACACATCAGCCCTACGCTGCCATCACGACGGCCTTCTCTCCTCCTCGCTCTCCTGCACAGCGCTGGCTGCGGCGAGTCCGGCCCGCGCCCACGGCCAGGTCTTCCCACTGCGGAGAGCAGGCCGTTGACCGGTCGCGTGATACTGTCGCCGTCCAGTTCGCACACACACACGACCCACATGAAGGGGTCTTCAGACATCCACAGAGTATCCGGCCGCGCCACGGAGGGCACGGAGCATCGCTGCGCTTGCACTCACATGAATTGTGTTCGTATCGTCAACATAAATTCTCGAATCTTTCAGTGGCACGCCAGTCCTTGGATTAAAGTGGCAGAGGTTGTCAACGAGAATCGACAGTTACAGTAAAATCTCGTTTGTTTGAGGAGTTGAAGAGTGTGTGTCGCTTTATCACTGTACCGCATTTGGCACGGTAATTCTTTACTTAATTATTTAATACTGGTGCGAATCCTGCACCCCGGCCCTCTTGTCAGTAACGGACACAGTCCAGTCATAACGTTGCATTTGTCTGGCAACCAAGCCGAATTACACCAGTTCTCAGTTAAAATATCCTCCAGAGGCTCTGCTCGATGGTCACCGCAGCACGAGATTGACGAGTGACGTTATGAAACCCCGTGACTGCAGCGCACCTGCATATGACGTCATCCAGCCCCGTGATAGCAGCACACCTGCATATGACGTCACCAAACCCCATGACAGCAGCGCACTTGCACATGACGTCATCAAACGTCATGACGGCAGCGCGTCTGCATTTGTCCGCAGCATGCGCCGGACCTCGCCCTTCCCATTCTCTCCAGACGCCGTCAGGCGCTGCCCGCCGGAGGCCGAAGTCCGACGCATGCAGCATGGCGTTCTGATAAAGCCGGGGCTGATATACGCACGAGGAGAGGGCCCCGTCTGATTGGAGCTCTTTCGGCTGCTATGCATTACTTAGCATTTCTTCGGGCTTCGCCGTCTCTGCCACGCACACAAAGAGCGCGCCCGCGTCTCGTTTGCATTTCAAAAGAGATCTCACACACGCAGACGCGATGTTTGCGGAGTGCGGAGGAGACGAGGTGTCTGCGAAGTGCGGCGTGCTGCCGAGAAGACTCCGGTGCCGTCTGGCTCCAGAGCGCACCTTCAGCACGGGCGGGGCGGGGGCGCGACCCCGTCCGCACCGGGACGGGGTGCCGCCGTCGGCTCGGGAAGCGGCCAGCTGTGCCCGCCAGCTGTGTATTCAGCCTGTTGGTTCGGCGGGACGAGTCCAGGTCTCGGGTGGCGCCTCGGCGGAAAAACGTTGCCGCGACTGCGGCGGCGGTCGATCGGGCAGCGGCCGGACGCGACGGAGCGCGCGGCGCGCGGGCGGTCGCGGAGGCGGTGACGGCCGGACCGGCAGCCGGCGCGCGGCACGTCAGCATAGGCGGCTGTCGCCTTCTGTGGCTGTCGGCTATCGTCTGACGTCACCGGTCGTGGCTGACCCGCTCTAATGCCGATCAGCAAAAAGTAAAAATGGCGTCTATGTTTGTGTCCGCTCAAATTGTTGTGACAGAACGTGCGGAAATGGAGGCGGCTTGAAACTAGTGCTTTGCGACACAGTGATATGGCAATAGCCTAGACGTGGCCCTGTCGTGGTGGCCTCATGTACTCCGCAAATGGGTCGTCGTCGGCTCGGTTTTTCATCGTTCGTACATCGTACCATGCACACTGTTCGTCACACCACTGGACCCGAGGAAGCCACGTAACTCTCGTGGCGAAGGTAATTCTAGCGACGTTACGTCATGATTGCCTTCTGCACGCCAGGATTGCCTGCGTGGCGCTGCCAAACCAAGGTAACCAGAAACTTTCACCAAGGTAACCAGAAACTTTCATCAAGTAGAGCAGTGCCTTCCATAATATGAAGTGACGAGGATCCCAGTTCCGTTCGCTCTCCACCTGGCTTCTTCCCCGTTCATTCAGATTACCGTCCGAAGGTGTTGAAAAGTTCTTGCGTGCGCTCTAGCACCGCCGAAAGATGCGTCAGATGATTCAGTGATCTTGATACCGTTTTCTCATTTGGCCGAGAAACTTTTGACATCGATCGCTAAGTTTCCTCATAGACACGCCTCGCTCGTAAGGTATTTTGCGCTTAATTACTTTGCGTGCCAGAGATGGCTGGCATGCAAATATGTGCTGGCAGCCGTATCACGGCTTCTGCTGGTCTACAAGCGTCAAATAATGGCTGCAAAAAGCAAACAAATCCGTCGTGTACCCTGTCGCATCCCAGCCACTGATGGTGTCTTCGTCTGCGCGCATGGGAAC